GACAGACTATATAAGCACCAGAAGTAATATTTGACATAGAAAAATTTTGCAGTATCATCGACGATATGTATGTACATATGTATGTATACTGTGAAAATTTGTGTTACCGCATTTGTTTAAAAAATGGACGTATGTATATTTCCTTTTACCATCCTTCGCCTAAATATAGTAGAGATTAACCTCGCCGGCTTCAATCATACGCTTCAGCGCGTAGAAATTCTTCGGTGAAGGCGGTGGCCTCGCTAGCCGCTGCATCGTGTATCCCCTACCGTGGAACACACAAACGCGATTCTGGAAGTTTAGAATCAACATATGTAGTTTTATAAAATATGTTCACAGTTTTATATCGTGTATGGCATGAATCTATTTCAAATTCCAAACAACTTTACATTTACTGCACTTGAACTTTTTACCAATGAGCTTCTATATGAATCTTTGTATTGTTCGAGCAGGTACTTATGTATGGTATTCATTTGCTAAGTTTACATGTACGTGTGCACGATCCTTAAGTCTACCTCTTATTGTAAATGCACGCAGGTTTTGGTTTATGTTTGTAGCCATGGTCTGCAAATTACATACATACATACATCCGAAAATATACTATGAGAAATGTTATATTACTGATAAGTTTGTGTCTACTCAAAAATACTTTACGGTAATTCTGTATATACGTGTATATACATATGTACAAATGCACAATTTTCCCCCTCTTTTCGTCCTATACTTAAATATTTACATACATACATACGTCTGTGTTCTCAACATACATGAGCTAAAAACCGGAATATAGGCATGTGACGTTCGTACGAATAGTAAATAACAGTAAAAAGCTTCTTCAATAATTGTGTTATTTTTTTTTTAATATATCTAGGTATATTAAATTAAAATACATCTTTGGTTTTAATTTTTATTGATGAAATGCATAAGTAGGTTAGAACTTTTACCGATTTTCATGAAAATCCAAAAACTAATAAATTAAAATTACATTCTCACTTAAAAAACCAAGAGTATTAGTAAAAAATACACCTAAAAAGACTAAATAAATCAGAACAACTTATGAAATTTTGAAGTTAACACTAGCAATACGTAATAGCTCAATGAAAAATTAAAAAAAAAAGTATTTTTCTATGAAAATTTACGTGATGGAATTTTGACGTATGTAGAATATGTCTTACGTTTCGGTATGGATGGCATGCTCAAATGTTGTAGTTGTAATTTTTAAAGCTTCACAAAAACACTTATTCCATGAGAACTAATAAAGCGATTTCAAAGAATAAGTGGCGTTTCAAAGATAAAATTCCAAGCCTACCGACAGATTCATTTTTGTAAGTGAACGGTTCGGTTTCTGTCGCTGAAACAACGGTAACTATTGGCTTATTTTCGGATAAATTTTGAGCCTTTGAAGTTCTCTAGCAGCTTAGGTTTTGCAGATATAAGCTTCAGTTCTGGAATATAAGTTCTTTAGAGCAGTAGTATGTATACATTTTATATAAATTCGACTAAAATTGAGAATTTTAATGCAAAAAAAAAATAAAATTAGCTAATTTTTTATTACCAAAATGCTCAAAAATTACTCGAATGATTCGAGAAATAATAATTCTAGAATCTCCAACGATTAGAAAAATGAAATATTCTCGATTCGCCAGCGAATCGAAGAATAAAATTTCTAGCAATACTCGATTCGCTTTTGGATTCGCTTTGATTGGATTCACATACATATGAGTAAGTAGTCAAGCTAATCTTTTCACATATGAGCAAGCAGGCAAACTATTTGGTTTGAAAAATCACACGTACACAAAACTTTTGGGAGCTTTTTTGATTCACTATTAAGAATGTGATAGTAAAACGTGCCAAACGCGTGACGGTCACGTCACTACTGGGCTGTAGGGTAGTAACCTATGTACCAGAGCTGTGTAATGATTGAATCGTAGAGAATGTGAATGCAAAAAAAAAACTCAATCATGTATGATTGTACGTTTATGTGAATGCAATCTGTCATTATCATTCAGTACTAATACTATTTGTTGTATCAAGGTTGAGATTTTTGTACTCGAAATGTGAAACCAGAAGATTGCCATCCCCCTTAAAATAAGTAAACAAATAAATATTTGGTGCTAAAATATTTTTCCAACCAGTTGTCTTCAGTGTCGCCTGCTCAGTGAGAGCAAAAAACTAGATAGACATTCAGAGATTGAAGGCAACATGAGTTTTGCCCACCTGCATCCCCTCGATGCCTCTTAGTCATTGCTGAGCGAAGTATTCACCCAGTTTCTGATGGTTGCGTCGATGGCCAAAAGTGGGTGTGCTAAAGCTAGTTGCGGACCGAGGAATGCCTGGTCTGAGCCAATTCTGGCCAAATGGTCAAACCAGGGACGGTAATCATTATAAGTAAAATAATTTAAATCATAATTTAATCATCATTTTATGATTCTTACTTTTTCGCTCAACGGAAATAATTATTATTTGATTATTTTATGATTTTTATTTTTTTCGGCCAGAGATTTTAATTATTATTGAGTTTTATTTTTACACTTAGAAATAATGATTATTTATAAAACTTAAAAGGCCATATAGACGAAACCAACAAAAATTTTGACCTGCAAAGGGATATGTAGAAATTTACCCTAATATAGCTTTTGAGTTTTTTTTAAATAATCAGTACTCTTAAGTGAAAAAATAAAAATCAATATTAATTATTATCTTCGAGCGAAAAATTAAAAATCATAAAATAATCATTATTTTTGCTCTAAAAAAATCAAATATTAATTGTTATTTTCTATTTTTATTGGTTAAACTCGTAAAATAATTTTGATTTTTTTAATTATAAGTTAAAAAATAATGATTACTTACCGTCCCTGGTTCAAACGAAGCAACTGAGAGGATCTTAATTATAAAGTTTGCTTCCTGACGCAAAGTGAGAAACTGGCTTCCAATTAAAATTTTTTAAAGTGAACCTCATATTAAAAGTAACTTTAAAATGAAATGTATAGAATTCTTTGACTATTTAAACCCTGAAGATGGAAATGAACTCATTATTGCTATTAAAAAATGTCATATATATAAAATAATTTATTGGCTTCTGTGTACATTGGTCGTACATTCATGTTGAAATGGATAACACCTTTATTTTTTATGAACTATATTTTAATTATATACATACCAAAATATTGTTAAAAATAAGTACTCTGGCGGTTTGAAGTATTATTTGCTACTTACATTCATAATTTTGCTTTGAATAAAAATGTACTGAAAAGTACTGATTTATTAGCATGAAAAAGTCGTAACGTACTAATTTCGCGCATAAAAAATCTGGCAACCCTAGGGTTGTCATCTATTCGATTTTTATTTCGAGCGATAAAGTTCGGTAATTGTGTTATCAGCTGTCTCGATGAAGTCAATGGGCCCCCTCGGAGCCGCAATTTCACGCACTTAGACTTTTTTGTGCCATGCCGTGAAGGACCGATATAATGCCGATATGTCGGGCATTTCTTACAATAGAGCCACAGAAACAATCAACAAGGTCTTGGAGAACTCGGATGCGCTACTGCGAAGACAGTGACATGATGAAATCGGGTTCCATAACTAATGGGAATAGAATGAACCCATAATAGTATACCGAAAAAAATAGTTTGAGTTAATTTTTATAAATAAATAATCATCAGATCTTTAATGTGAAGGTCATCAGATCAGCACCGTCATTCTAAATGTGTATTAAGGTTTTATTTTTTGAAGTCAGGACCTTTTTTTAGCGGTGCACAGTGGTTTGAGTTTTGAGGAAATGAAAAACCGACGCCATGTGAGACCTCTCTTCGTTCAAAAAGGGATGGACGAATTTACTTGAAACATTTTCAATATTTATTAAGGTTTGTGAATAGTGTTGCCATCTGTTTAAAAATGTTAAGCTCAATTTTGGCGTCTTAACGCTATGCTTCCAGATGCAAGAAGAAAAACTATCCAAATTTGTACTCTAGCGAGTTACAGCGGTATTTGAAAAGCACTGTGAGCCGAAACGTATTTTAACAGTCCGTGTTTTCGGCCATATGATCATTTTCTTTAGTTTATAGAGTCAGAAACAATCAGCATGAATCGGAATATAGTTAAAATAAAAGCATATAACGAAGGAGCAATTACATTGTAAAAAAATTATAACAAGTTATGGTTCTACTATTTAAGAAGCATGGGCCCGGGGGGATTCACCCCTTACCCCCGTCTCTCTCGACGGGCCTGACTGGGACTATCCGTATATTTGGTTATGCGTTCGGATATTCGTATACACAGATAAATCAGGATGTCCGTTATTTTATTTAATCAGACTTTTGATTATGTGGATATTCAAAAAATCCGGATAGAACTCCCACCCCTAAGACATGCATACACTTGTATCTTGACAATGATTCACTTTCGATTGCTTTCAATGTTTAAAACGATTTCAAACCGATTTCATGACCTACTACTTAAGAAACTTATGCATATCGTTTGTGTATATGGTTTATTAATATATAGCTGTGTGAAATTTTGTTTTATTAACAATTTTGTTAAGGTTGGGGCACGTCAAAACGTTATCCTAATAAGATTTTATTTTGAGGTCTAAAATCTCATATGATCAATAATCAATTGTAAGCGAGCTATTTGTTTTTGTGGTCCGAATTCGCCGGTTCCGACAATTGATTAATGCATTATATAATAATAATAATTTAATATAACTTTATACATATAGAATTAGTTTAAGCTAAGAAGCGGAGGTCATAGGAACAATTAAAAATTCAGTTAAATATTGCAAGTGCCGAGTGAATTACTTTACATATGCCGCAAAAATATGTGAATAAGCAAATACATATGTACATATGAGTTTTAAGTTAATTACAAAAATACTAAACTTAGCATGCTTTCCTAGTTAAATACTATGTTTATTAGAGTCTTTGTTGGTGTTATGCTTAGATATATGTGTATGCATTTATTTACAATTTATTTAAGGTAACAAAATAAATGGAAAGAATTACCTTCGTTGTGCAAAAGCAGCATTCAAACTCCACCGGTACATCCTGTTCGAAATTATCCATTCTCTGGTTTTGCAAATTCTCGAGTGCCACCTGACGTCGCAGCTCGGCCACTTCCTATAAAATGATGAACAACGATTTGTTTTTGTTTTTCGATTTTACATAGATTTCAATATTTAATGTTGTTTGTTTTGGATATATTGTTGGATAGATGCTGGACTCAATTACAAAATGGCAGGATTTAAGCTGCTTAGGTTTTGTTGGATTTGGAATGCGGAGTTAGTTGGTTTGTTTTGTTGCGGCAAGGGATGAAGGAAGTACTAGTTGCAGGCAGGATTGGGGGTTAGAGTGGAAAATTACGAATCTCAAGTGTTGAACAAAACCAAAACGTTAAGTGGTTATTTGAGTAAATATTTGCATGCCAAGTTGCACAGGTGAGTAGCGAAAAGTGTTGGCATTTGAAAAGCGTTGCAAACAAATTTCATTGTACGTACGTACGTACGTAATTGAATTAGTAAATTTTATATAAATTCAGTGTTTATAACCATGCCGGCGACAAAAAAGATGGTGAGAAAGTGGTTGAGAATTGAACAAAGAAAGCGGTCATATATTTACATACATATTGTCGTTTAAAGTACAAAACCGCGTATCGTCATTCTGCAAAACCGCGTAACTGACATTTGCTGTCAAAAATTAGATTTGCCCACACAAGCTTTTGGCTCAATCCTTATCCGTTCGTCCCGGAAATATACTAGCCAGAAATGCGATTGTTTTGTAAAAAAAAGAGAACCATTTTGAAATATGAGTGTTTTTACTATCTAGAAAATAATTTATGCAACCTCACATATCGCTAGCTTAGAGTGAAAAGTTGCTAAGTCCACTTTTTATGAATACTCATATTTTGACATAGGAGGCTAAAGAAATTTAATACGCATCGTTTCGAAAATTATAAAGGTATTTGTTTTATTTTTTCCTCTTCATAAGCAATAAAAGGAAAATTTGTTAAGTCCAAAAGAAGCACCACAAATCCGATAAGGCCAAAATAATACGACATCTTTTAATAAATATCGAATCCTTCTGATTCTTATGGAGTTTTGCTTTGCTTTAAACGCGCAAAATGTTTGTTTCAAAGTCTTGCGAAATAGTTAAAGAAAATGGCTGTAGGAAGATTTTTTCCTCTCCTGTAAAATTTTTAAAATGGGACTTAGCAACTTTTCTTTCTAAGCTAGCGATATGCGGTTTTGCATTATCTTGATACGCGGTTTTGTACTTTAAACGACGATATACATATATATATATATATAGTTAGGCATGTACGTGCATATTAAATATAATAATTATTTAAAAGCGTACAGGTGAAGCTGTGCAGCTGTGATTTTATCAAGTATATTTTGAACATAAAATATTTTTAAAAAGTAGTATAGGATATTTATCTTTGCCCTTCCACCAATTATTTGTGTAAAGTGTGTAAATATACAAACGATTTTATTTGTAGTAATAAAATAGTATACATGTATAAATGTGTGAATTTTTTGAAATATATAACACTTACAGCCGGTTTCACCAGCAAATCAAATGGAAAAGGATTTTGTATTTTCTGTCAACTTCCATATAAAATTCAAAACAGTAAAATCATTTTCCACTTAAATTGCTTTCGTGAAATTGGCTGTTGGCAAAAAGTAACTTTTGTAAACAGAGTAGCTTTAGTCAAGATGAAAATGACTTCATACTCTGAATTCTCAATACATCGACAAGATCTGGACTTTTGACTAAAAAACCTTTTTATAGATTTTGTATGTGAAAAGAAAGAGGACATGTTAGACTAAAAAAATATTTCCTTAAGCAGTGTTTGGGAGAATCTCAGTTTAAGCCTCCAAAGAGCTACAAACATGCAGTATGCATTTTGAAACAGGTGGCAACAATTTTCAAACACTTCAGAAATATTCTAGACTAGATCGGCCTCACCCGTTTCGCTGAGTGTATGAAATTTTTTGGTGCTACATTGAGTGAAATTTATTTCAAGAAAATCAATTCAAAAACAAAATATTTTCAAATTAAATTTTCTTAAACTTCTCACTTGTCCTACTTTTTCAACTCAATTGAGATTTTAAACATATGGAAACCCCTTACATGTAGTTTTGAAATTAAGCCCTTTTAAAATCATTTTAATTGATTCCCATATTGTAATAATTCATTTAAATTATTGAATAGTTTGAATTTAACCTTTTAAACAGTTGGCAACCTTTTTAAACCTCTTTCGTCTAACACTCATATTGTGATACATATTCAAAACCATTTCGATTCATACCAATCTATACCAATATATATTTTGAAAGCCGTTTTTTTTTGTGTTCGCAAAGCTCGAGAACGGCCGAACCGATTTTTTAGAAAATTCCGACACCTGATTCAGACGTCCCAATTATTATAGGCTAAAAAAATGTTCGATATATAGAGGGGGCGTGGAACCTCTCATAAAAACCAAAGTTTTCATACCGAATATCTCTGGAAATGTTCATGGTAGAGTACTGGAACTTGGTGTGGAGATATATGAAATCAATCTTTTACTCATGGAGGAAAACGGGCTATTTGAAAAGAGGGCGTGGCGCCATACAAACGTATATATAACTCATCTGTAGGTGTGTTTGTGAGTGAAATCCTCCTAAATGCTCAGACAAATTTTAACGATGTTTTTTGTGTATTTTTGAGTAACTCTCTGGATAGTGTAGATTCACAAATTCACCCGCCAGTTGGCACTGGAGTTAAGTTATTACTAAAAATATTATTGGTGATCCACTTTGGCTAATATTCAAAATATGTATTCGTAACGGTAAAGGCAATACTGTTGCAAAATAGAGCTGCCACGTGGCGCTGGAGTTATTACGAATAATCGCCAAGTTAGAAAAGGTGCCGTGAATGTCAAAATAAATAAACCTGTTGCACCATTGAGTATATCGAATTTTTATGTGTTACGATTGGCCCAATGTATTAGATTTTTGCCTGTATTGCTATGCCTTAAAGCTCCATTCGGAGACACCAGGGTTGAGTTGTGCAGGGGTAAATCTCAAATCACCACCGATAAATCAACCGCCAAAACAATTGCGCTCCTTTTACTGTAATAAATTCAAGTAAAAAAAAAATTTATTTTCACTTAAATTGCTTTCGTGAAACTTACTTTTAAGGTATTTCGTCTGAAATAAATATATGTATATTGGATTTCTCTAGAACAATTATACGCATCCATTTTGAAATTGCCACCAACTATACTATAAAGTCTCTTGGACGGATTTACTATAGAACCGGATCATTGTTGCCGCCAGGGAGTGAAGAGGAAACTTGTTCAAATTTATTTCGTTGTGAGATTAACCGTTCTATGAAATGTTACACAATTAGAGAATTTCAAGAACTTCATCATGGACATACCGCTTTCGTTTGGTTATTTAAGGCGGAAAACGACCACCAAACCATAATCTTAGCCGATAAGCGTGCCAATGGAAATCGTAAACGTGAAATGTTGGTGAAAATATTGAACCAAAAAGTTTCAATAAAAAAACTTATTTTGTGCGGGACGAAGTTGGCAGGGTCTGCTAGTATTATAATATTTCATTTAAACTAATTAAGTTGAATTTTTAAAAAGGTGGCAACCCTTATGAAAGACTTCAATATTATTCAAAACTTTAAACGAAAGGTTTCTTAACAATATTTTGTTTGACAACCATATTTTCATTCTCCAGATGGCTTGCGTATAATTAATTTAAATTTTACTTTTCAAACAGGTGGCAACCCTTTTCAAAATATATTAAACTACAGCTGTTTTAAGCCTCTTGGCGTCCATTTTTTTAATATTATTTTCAAATAAATATCTCCCTTAATTGAAGTTCAATTCGATTCTTTTAAAAGGTGGCAGCCCTCATCCATGAGTAGAGAATGATTTTATATATCTCCATACCAAGTTCCAGTAATCCACCAAAAAACATTTCCTGAGAAATGAAGTATGAAAAATTCTGTATATATGGGAGGTGCCACGCCCTCTTGCCTAATCGAGATTAAATGTATCCTATAGTTTAAGTTGGGCTAAATAACAGCAGTGTACAAAATTTCATGATGATCGGTTGATTAGTTAAAGCGTGAAAGCGTAGCAAACAAACAAACTCACTTTCGGATTTATAATATTAGTAAGGATGTTCAATCTAAACATTTCTTGAAACTCTTTCGCTTTAATAGTTTATATAACCTGGGCATGAATCAATTGGCGATTGTCTTGCTTCGTGAAAACCAAGAAGGAACAGTCCAGCGTATTCGTCTTGGTCTGCTAAACTAACTAACTTAAACACTAAGAAAAAAGTACCGATAACAAAAGCGATAATAACATCGATAAAAACATCGATAAAAAGATCGATGAAAATATTGATATTAAAATCGATAATAATATCGATAACAACATTTATCAGAAAATCTCTTACAAAGTCGATACCGAAGTCGATAACAAAATCGGTAAAAATATCGACAACGAAAGCGGTAACAATATCGATAATAACACCGATAAAAATATCGATAACAAAAGCGATAACAATATTGATAGCAAAACCCTTAAAAATATCGGTAACAAAACCGATAATTTTTTGCAAAATGCTTGAAATTTGGATTTCTATAGCTTTTGGTAGATGAGCTATACTTTTATAAAGAAAACTTGTCAAAATGTCGCGACCCTATTAATTTGTCTGACACTAAAAAGACTTGAAATATATGCATAGTTCAATTCAAAGTTCAACAAAAAAGTTGGAACACTAAATCGCTAACATCGATATTTTTTTAGATGTCGGGCCTAGAAGTTGAACAACAATTTCTACAATTTAGCTCAATAATCCACGAAAAGTCCACATTACCTAAACTTCGAAGCCCAATATCTCAAGAAAAATCGATAGAGTGCGACCGATTAATCGGCATCGGCTAGTATCGGCACAAAATTGAGCATCGGCATTGGCATCGGCATCGGCCTTTTTTCGCCGATTCTTTGTAATCTCTTTTCTGTCGGTTCAGGTGAAGCGACAGACAACAGCCAATATCAAAAAACGTTTGCAGACGGCTCACAAAAATTATTATTATTTTTTTTGGTTGAAGGTGTTTCACGTTTTTTCCATACATAAGTATGTTCGACAATTTTCTTTTATATACAAAAATTAACGGGATGTTAAAGCAGCTTGAAACTTGCGCTTCATTATACTAGAATTAAATGGTCTAAAAAACTGCATAAAAAATTCTGATTGAAAAGTTTGAAATTTTGGTGAAAATAAGCAGAATTTTTATATTTTTTGTACAAAGTTTTAAATCTGAATTTATATGGTATTTATTGTACACCAGCTAGACTTAAAATAATAATAATAAACATAAAATAAACAAAAGACAAATTCCAAATGCCAAGACCGG